AAAAAAAATACTGAAAATAACAAAAACGAAGTATTTGAAAAAATATTAAAAAAATACAAAACAAAATATTTGAAAGCAAATTTAAAGGATTGAAAAGACGATTGGAAAAAAATTAAAAATAAAACAATTAATGTTGATCATTTGGCAATTTGTATGGACGGCAAATGGTACAAAGGGAAATCTTTAAACAAAACGCGAAATAATTTACGGAAACAAATCACCAGTGTCAATATACATATTTACACACATAAATATGCGCATAGCTGTTCATAAATTATGTATACATGCATGTACTTGTGTTTAGTATTCACAAGTGTACACAGAGCGCGCGGGTGAGTGCAAGGTGCCGAAATTATCACAACAGAGAAGCTGATATAAAAGACGAACTTCAATTACACGCAGGCATACGCTAATAAGTACAACAATAGAAGCATATATGCGAATATAATTTTCAAGTACAAAATACATACATATATGCATAGGTTTGTGCATATGTAAATGCTTATACTAGGGTGAGCCAAAATAATAATCTTTAAATGAGGAAAGAGATGAAGAAAAAAATTTAATATTTTTTATGACCTTAAAAGAAAATTTTTCATAAAATATTTAGAAGTAGTAAAAACTTAAAAATTTTATTGTGATTTTTATTACTGTTTTTTTTTGTCATTTCGTACGATATTTTCACGGTACTTAAGGAAAAAAAACAATATATTTTTTTTGCCCACCCTAATAAAAGATACGTATATATATATGTATATACAATACAAATATATTTGTTCTTAAATAATAAAAAAAAAAATTATTTAAAGAAATTAAAAAAAATTAAAACTTAAAAAAAAAATTTTTTTTTTGTCCACCGTAATATGCACATATGTAAAATTATATGTCTTCAATTGTATGTTTATTTATTTTATTTGATTTTGGTGCTATCTTTTACACATACATACAAACATATGTATACGCGCCATATGGGCATCTACTACTTACAAATATATCGCAATTATTTTGACTATATTTTTGCTACACCAATACATACATTTGTATTTTTGCCACAACGTATGAAAATGAATTCCTCATTGCTGCGCGTTTGCGGATTGCGTGAGAACTGACGTAGCACCGGCATTTCGCCTCGCAGCGTATGTAAGTATGCGGTCGGTTAAATTTTAAAATGCACAGCACGTTCTACACTCGATACTCTATTTGCGTGCGCGCTTAAACGCTTTAACTTTCATATAAAAATAATAATATTTATAACTCTTTTAAGCACTGCGAATGCGTCGCTGGCGTCGGGGGTGGCGGTGTGGCACAGTTGTGAACGCAGGCTTCAATTGTTTAACAAACAAAACGACAAGGCTTTGAAAGCATGAAGCCATTCAAAAATCTACACACATATATGTGTATGAGTGTGCGTGCGCTCTTTATGCCATCAAATGCTAAAGAAGAAAAACTTTATAAAATATGACAAAAATAGTAAATTTGTAAAAACACAAGTATTTATACGATTATTTTAATTTCCTGAACACACAGCTACACAAATACCACACTGCTGCATTCATACACATACAAACACGCGTACAACTACTGTTTTATAGAAATTTGCCGCCTTACAAATGAGCTCGTAAAAGGCAAAATGAAATATACCTACAAATAAACGCACAATTCTAAATGTGATTGTAATGTGTGCCCGGAAAAATATTGTGAAAAAATGCGAAATATTACTCAACAGCACCCAACTGAACTGAAATGTTTCGTATACGCCCTGGCGGACTGACAGAGTGTGGCAGGCACTTTGCCAAGAAAAACATATGCCAGTCATAAGACAGTCGACTGCTGGGAATAACATACATACATATATATGATATATGCTATATAAATATACAGTTAGGCATGTGTGTAAACAGGGAGTTAAAATAAAAATAAAACAGAATTTAAAAGAAAATAATTATATTAACAAATGCGAAATATTAAAAATAAATATTAAATAAATTATCAAGCAAATTAATCAAACCCCAGCAAAAATGAGAAAATAAAGAAAATCAAATAAATATAAGGAGATAAATTAAAATTACATAAACAAACGAGTAAGTTAAT